ATATTGGGAAATTAACCCAAAAAAAGGACTCTGATATGAGCCGATGTGGTAATTATTAATGTCGAAACAAACTAAATATTTCAAATTTATGTCCTTTAATTCGCAAACACGAATCCACAATTTTTCTTATATGGTGAAAGGAAAAGGTATGAACATAAGCAAGGGAAATCGCCATCACCATTAATGCATCTATCAGATCCATACCATAAATGAAGGTACAATATTTTCCTAAACCCTAGGCTAGGTAGCAGGTGCCTTATATAGATCCTAAACATATTCAATCCTACGGCCTAGATCAATCCTAGTACACACCAGATAAATCCAGTCCATTAAGAGCATGTGAGCTATATTTCTTGAACTGCTGACACGGTGCATGGGCCCATGCATGGAGTTGTTTTGCTTGCTGGGTTGGTTAGGAATACTCCACGTTGGCATGATGATTGACCATGCTGACTTTCATATGGAAAGGTAGTCTTTGATGAAAGTATACTAATACTTGCCAACTCCTTGTAACAATAATTCATATGTTAGAAGTCACATATGTTCAATGTTCATAATGGTAAAACTACTTTCAGAATATATACGACACTTATTCCCTTGAAATAAATTAAGATTTAAATTATAACTTGATTATCATATCACCACATTCATTTCACATTATGATATTCCTTAATTTAAATTACAATCGGTATTTATGTCCTTCAATTAAATTTTAATATGCTGGATATGATTGTCTTTTGCTAACTACATTCATTAATCATTAGTACTAGTACAATATCCGTGTATTACACGGGTACTTGATAAGAAAATTATTTTTAAATTAAATAACAATAACAACAACAGTTGTTTAAAATTAAATTTGTATTTATTAGGCTAATTTGAGGTTTTCATAGAAATTAATGAGGTGATTGAGAGCTTCCAAAAGAAATCAAGGTTATATTAGTCAATCAATATCATTATCAAAGGTTCCAATACAACTTAAGGGTAATATTAGTCAAACTATTATGAAATTTTCAAGTTAGTTTTTTAATATTTTTGGAATGTCCGGATTTAAAATTATAGATTTAGAATAATATTATTTTTATCCAAACCAAACTACGTAACATATTTTCGTCAAATAGGATTCCAAAGCGTGCGAGGCTGCCACTTAGGATCAACGCATTCTGCGGAATTTTTGTTTGTAAGGCCGGTCACATAAACTGGACCCTATGGATCCGATGAGATACGAATTGCATATGTATTAACAGTCCAAGTTTTTTGTCTTTTGATTAGATTTATCTGTTTTTTCTATGTATTATGTTGATAGTGTAGGTAGACTTAGTTTAGTATTAACTAAATTGATAATTGGATTTTCTCATTTTATTTGGTTTCTTGTATTTATTATTAGTAGTTGTACAATATCCACTTATTATAAAGGTGTTAATTAAAGATTTAATATTTTAAGAAATACAAAATTTAATAAATTAAATTTTTATTTATATTATTATTTTTATGTAAAGTAACATCTATCACTTGTAAGGCTCACCCGTAAAGTTAGATAAAAGAAATTTTAGTTATAAAAACTAAAGATTGTTAAATAATAATTAATATGATATTTAAATATGAAAACAGATAACAAATGAAAAGGCTATTAAGGTTTCAAGCATATTTATAATTTAAGTCAGTATTTTATAATTTTAAAAGTTGAACAATTATGAATAAAATTTAAGGCCTACGTGGTACTTCCAAGCAATTGAAATCAACATACAAGATATAAACAATCACTTAAAGTGCATTTATATATGAGAGTAGACATAGCCAACGGCCTAGCCCGCTGGTTTGGGGCCTGACCTGGCCCAATCACGTGGAATCATAACTAGCTCGAGAGTAGTGCTGCACACGAATCGAGAAGCTTGCGAGCTCTCGAGTCAAAGTTCGGGTCGAGCTTGAGTTTGACCTGCTCGAGCACGAACTCGAGTCGAGCTCAAACACATATTTTGCATTGTTGAGTAGTTCAAGAGCGACTGGATATATGTTAAATTACTAAAATACCCCTTGTATATATATATATATATATATATATGTATCATAATAGTAATATATGTACTTAATGATTATTTATTAATTTTACAAAATTGGTTGAAAATATTCGAACCGAACTTGAGCATTTTGAATTTGGATCTTGCTCGATAAGGCCAATGCTCGACTCGTTTGCAGCCTTACTCGAGAGAAAATCCCATAATGGTTCCTAAAATCGGCTGGTGCGATTTTGATTTGGGCCCACCAGTTCCGTATTTCTGACGTGGCCCTGCTCGACTCAAAAAATATTTCAATTCAAAATTAGATTTGTAATTGAATTTTTGGAGTTGGCTTTTCGATTCCAGTTTAGAACCTGGCATGTCCAAAACACGGTCCCGATCTCATGTCGGGCCTAACACTCATGGTCAACAGGCTGATAGACACGGTCAATTGGCCAGTCTGGCCGATGGCCGACCCAGCCCAGAGGCCACGTCGGTAAGAAGGATTTTATCATTTTTGTTTTAATCTTTAAATTGGTTTTTAATTATTTAAAATATATCTTCTTTGTTTTCATAATTTGTTTTAAATAAACGAAATAATCAGTATTTGTTAAAAATCGACCATTAGCAGCTAATATATGTTAATCTTGAAATATTACAAAATTTAAATCCACTTCCACGTGCAAAAGTGAAGAGGAAAATCAATTAGGAAATCAATTAAACTTATATATAGCCGTAGTCTCCCTAAAATTGGATATTACCTTAATTATTATTAAAAATAAAGTTCCAACGATATGGAACCATTTTGGGCCGCAAATCAAACAGTAACTTCAAAGATGACAAACTTAAGCCTTACATTTATTTACAAAAGAGAGCCCATTGGTCGGCCCACCCAATAGTTTGTCCTTCCTCAGAAGGTTCTCGATCCTCATCCCTCTTGTCAAATCCCATTTCTAACCCTGATGCCTCCACACACCCCACTATAAAAATAACCAAACGTTGCCAAAACCGTCTCCAGCAAGCTCAAAATAGTACGCCACTATCATCCATCAGCAATGGCAGTTTCCCTCTTCCTCAACCGCTTCAACACTTTTAGCCCTCGTCTCGTCGGATCTCTCCGCCCGCCGACCTCCGTCGTTATGAAGCGCATCACTGTGCCCGTCGCCGTTCACTCGAGGACTCTCTTCAAGGCGGCTCCGGTGACCGACTACCCACCATACAATGGTGCTCCCGACAGCTTTTCAGATACCGACTCCGGCGAAGATCTCCTTGAGGATCCCCGCGTCATCTGTTCGTTCCAGGGTTACGGTATTTAGTTTTCCGTTTTTTAGGCATTTTGCAGATGAGTTAAAATTTCTCGTCATTTATGCGTAGACGAGTGGTCTTAAGCTGATTTGGTTTACCAGTGTGTATGCCTGTGTGTTGTTTTGTTCTTCATGCCTCCAGTTTGCAGATGAGCTCAGATTTCTAGTCGTTTATACATTGAAAGGACTTTTCCATTGTTTTACTAGCTATTATATGTTGAAAAACGTGATTTAGTTTCGATTTGAACCTGTAACTTGGATCTGGTTGTTTAGCCTTTTCAAAAATCGAACCAACTCCTGTTCTTCTGGGATACATTTTGCATTCTGTACACACAATCCATTTTCTAGTAAGTTTTCCAAGCTTTATGCAATTGCAGGTGCTTCGGATCCGTTCCCAGCAGAGTTCACAGTCCCGTACGGTTCACCAGAGGAATCCGACGGCTCACCAGTGGAATCCGATGGCTACTGCTTGAAGACAAAGCCTGTTGACAACGGCGTGCACTTGAGGATGTACCTTCCGGGAGTCAGCAAGGAAAACGTGAAGGTTTGGGTGGACGGTGAGAAGCTGTATGTTAAGGGCACAAAGATGGAGTTTGAAGACGACATACAGGAGACTGTGATGAGCTATGCCCCTCTGAAGGTTCCAGAGAATCGTTTCAAGGCTAAGGAAATCAAGGCTGAGATGAAAGATGGAGTGCTGAAGATCTTCGTTCCCAGGATCAAGGATGATGAGAGGGCTGACCATTGGACTGTGGAGGTCGAGTGATGTGGGGAGAGTAACGGCGTTTTTTGTTATGCAGACTTTTGGCTTGTGTGTTATGAACTTGTGTTTGGAAATGGTTTGTTTTGATGTGGTCTGCATGTTTAAGGTGGGTTCTAGTGGATGTTTTTCATGTTAGTTTGTTCAGCATGTTTGAAGGTTCTCTGTAGCCAGCAACTTGCGATTAATAAAATTAAGTCAGTGTTTGTGGTAATTAAGTCTCCATATCCATATTTAATCTGCGTCCATAAATTGTTCTTTGACATATTAATAGGTTTTCATTGTTAAATGAATAGTAATAATTTTCAAGAACAACAAATTGAATAATCCACATGAATAATCCCTTGCTTATCCCAAGTATTAACTCAGAATAATCTCGCATGGCATGAGATATTTACAGCTATTTTACTATTCTAGACACAGTTTTTTAATTATTATTATTTTTAATAAAGTAATTTGTGTAGTCATTCATGACATAATATGTTTTAGTTTACGTTGAGAAGAAAACAAGTGTTCTGGAAAAGGGTGAAAAATACATACAGTTTAGAAGAGGATGGGTTTTTTTTTCCAATTTGTAAATATTTTTACAGTTATTTAATTATTTTTTGATGGTACTAATGCATTTTGAAAAAAAAGAACAAATAAAGATAGTACAATCACTACGAGAAAAAGGACTTCTTGCAACATAAATATAATGATTTTTCTAAAATCAAAATTATTGCTATGCTTTTTAAAAAATGTTACAAAAATAAAATAATTGCAACACTTTTTAAAAAGTGTAATGGAATAATAATGCTTTTAAAAAAATATCGCAATTTAACTAGTTTTGAGACATTTATTTAAAAATATTGCTAGTTTATGACAATTTATGAAATAGTGTCTCCCATTTTATACAAATAATGACACTTTTTTGAAAATGTATTTAAATATTATCTTTTTTTTCAAAAAGCTTCACTTTATTTATAAATACGATGATATTTTATGTGTTAGTTTATGAGTTTTCTTAATCTCATATGTCAATTTATGGTTTTCAAAACAGTCCACGTAGATTTGTAATTTTATTCTTGCTTATTAAGAATATTAAAACTATAGAACACTTGGTAAATGAAATTATAAATTATGTTAAAATTAATAATATTTTTATATTATCATATCAAATTAATATTTTTTTAACGATCTATAAAAATACAACCTTTAAGAAATATTTAAAAATTTAAAATAATTTTACATTTTTAAAAACTATTTCAGGTATAAATTTATTTATTTAGCGGATGTATTACATTGATGTTGGATATTCTTTATATTTATATGTTGATCATTGTTAATTTGATGATAACTATTTTAATGAAAGTGGATTTCCTAAAAGTATCCAGATTTTTATCACGTGACATGGTGTGTATTTGTGGTAATATTTCCAACCGACCAACGAATTGAATAAAGGAGGTTTAAAACAAACCTTTTCAATGCCACCTAGCCTACACAAACAAACAAGAAGCCAGCCATTTTGAAATGTGTGGTTTAAAAGGAAATGTCAATTTCCATGGTTGATCAAGGAAAACAAAAGCTGCAAGATGAACTAACTTTGCATTAACTGCATTAACGTTTTTAGGGTTACAAAAACTTGATACTCGACTGCTACAGGAAAGAGTGCAATAAATAGAGTATGCCTAAAATGATCTCAGCCTTAGATTCAAATTATAGACACTAGATCAATGCCACCTAGCCTTAGTGGATAATAATCCTCAACAAACTTGTACTATCCTGCTGATATGCCATTTTGTCTTTGCATGGAGGAATCTGTGGCTTGTATCTTGTGCATGTCATCACCCATAATTTCAGCTGTCTTTCATGGCGTTCCAACTTTTCTGCTTTTCCTTGCCCTCCACGTATCATAAGGTTAACAGGCTCACAGAAATAAAGCTGCATTATTTTCCCATTGTAGTGGTATGCATCTCATTCAACCTTCACAGTAGACCATAAAGCCAGTCTAGTTTTAATGCAATATTGGGAACAAAACAAAACAAGACTCTGCAATTTTTCTTCATTATACTATGCATGGCATGCAACCTTCATAGTAGACCATAAAATCAGTCTAGTTTTAGTGCAATATTGGGAACCAAACAAAACACGACTCTGCAATGAGCATATGTGATAATTGATTAATGTACAAACAAATTATATTTCAAATTTCTGTCCTTTTTTTGGCAACCCTCATNTTGATTAATCTCCTTAAAAATAAAAATGAAAAAAAATCACAATAAATTATTATTTATTTTATTTCATTTTTTCTTTACCATCTCACTAACACGAAAAATTATTATTATATATTTCCAACAAGAAATATATTTCATGTACTTGTGTTTCTAGCTATCAATCTTATTAATTAATATTTTATTATTTTCATATGACATCAATTTTTTAGTTATTATATTTTTATTTTATATTCATTTATAATGTCAAAATTTTCTCATTATTGAAAACAAAATTTCCCTTTTTTTACTCACCTCTTCGACCGGGATAATTTTACTTTTTAGGGAAAATCTTATATTCAGTCTCAGTTGATCTCACCCTAAATTCGCTTAAGTTTGAGTTAAATTTTAAATTATGATGTAACTGAGTTTAATTTATTATGACGTAACTGAATTTAATTTGCTCACAGCATTCCGTTTAAAAAATATCACTTACACCGGAAAACATTAATTAGGATGTTTCAATAGTTTATCCACTTATTATTATTATTATTATTATTTAAGAAAGATTGAACATTTTATATGATCTTTGTAATCCTTATAATTAAATATATATATATTTCCTCACGCTGAACAGTACACTTTATATTATGATTTTCCAAACTTTTTAAACTTGCAATATGTAAAAATTAAACTTTTACATTTTTCTAATATCAAAGTATTCCAACATGAAAGTATGTCGATACGTAAGTTTCATAACATTTAAATATACTATTCCGTTTTTTTCTATAAAAAAACAAATTTCCATAGATTTAGCGTTTCATAACATTTAAATATACTATTCCGTTTTTTTCTATAAAAAAACAAATTTCCATAGATTTAGGGCCAAAAACACTATCAGACAACTCAAGGGTCCACTGGGCTGAATTAGGTCGAAGAATTTGGCTCAAATACGTACTCTACATAATTAATGGTTGGGCCAAAAAGAAAGAATAAATAAAACCCAAATCACGGCCTTGGTGTTGGTGGTGGGTTCATTTGTCATCAATTTATACAAACTGCATCTCCACATCTCAAACCAACGTCACCTCTCAAAAAATTCTAATACATCCTCAGATGTTAACAATAGGAGTCGCCCCTCTCAAAGAAGTGAAGTTCGCCTACTAATTGTATTTGGTTATTATATCTCGGGTTTTATCCATATTTTGGTCTGTTGGATTATTTGAAAACTTGCGATCGGATATTCCGGTTTTTGATTCGGTCGGTATTTGGATGCACACTGGGGCCCTAGCCTTTTAAGAAGTCGCGCCGGCCGCGGGTGCAGGCCCGATTCAGTAGATCTAATTTAAATAAGAGGAAAATTGCATTTTCTAACCATACTGACTGACAGCTCCACATGACTCGCTACCTGTTCGACACAAGGTCTCCATGAAATGTTCCAAATCTCCATACAATCATACTCCATAAACTCTCTCTCTCTCTCTCTCTCTCTCTCTCTCTCTCTCTCTCTCTCTCTCAGTCGCTCCCTCGCTTCGTTCTCATTCTAAGCTTTGTTGCTGTGTTTTCGCGAAAGGATCAAACAAATGTGGCGGCGCGTGGGTTCTCTGTCTTCGCTTGTTGCGTCCTCCAAATCGCGCCACCTTAATCAAGTATGTTACTGATTTTGATTTTTCGGCTTACTTTATACTTCCGATGAGATTTTTCACGGACGAATCGAGTGTTCTTCTCTCATCAAGTGCAGACAGCATGTGGATTTAACGCTTTGCAAATGTTCAGCACTCAAGTTCTGGATCAGGTATCAAGTCAATGTGTTCTTTTAATTTCTTTTTCTTTTATTTGAAATCATTGTAAATTATGACTGGATTCTTAGTCTATTTTAGTTCTTTGTCTGTAGCTGTCATGATCATTACATGAAAAGAGTATTGCCTTCTCCGCATTGATATCTGGCGCTTTCAAATTTTGGAGGAACTGAACTCATAATTACTTTTTCTTTGTTGTTTCCTTATGGCTTCCTCAATCAGATTAATATTAATTTGTTAAAACATTTATGTGCTATTATCTTGATAACCTGCTATGCTGAAATGTTTTCAATTGTGATCTTCTTACTTGTATTGTTATTTCTCTGTCTGAAATTTCTTCAGTGACAGATTGACAGTGGCTTCTTAGCTTTAACTCTTCCAGTTAGTAGTTGTGAATGCTTTTGCCTAGATATTAATGTGAGGCACGGGATATTGGTTTATGCAAATTGAAAATGTCTGGTTTATCTATGTTGTTTGATTCTGTCATTTGAATTTGGACATGAGTAATTTCTGAAGCTTTTGATATCCATCATTGCTAATTATAATCGGAATTTGTTTTCCTTTTCACTCAAAAGGTTACTTCAATTCAACAAGTTAGATTTTTTCTTTTTTTGCAATATGATGATTTGTATATTAATGTTGTGCATTTTCTTTGATGGACTCAGGCGGAAAGTGGAATTTCTGATAGAAGAAGGATCCCATTTGTGACATTTGTCTTGGGTAATTAACGTTCAGTTAAGCTGCTTACATCTTCTAGTTGAGGAATGAGGTCGTAAGATGCTATTATTGTATTCATAAGTGTTTTTAGAGTTATTTGCTGACATCTGGATTGTTATGTTTTATTTTGCCAAGTATTTTGAAAGCATGAAATGGTGTGAAATTAGTTAACTGCATTAGATAATCGCTTGTAGGCATAGCTGTGGCCATCTCTGTCATCTTAACATTATTAACCTCGTAAAGTGAACCATATGGAGTTGTAGAAAACTGAAAATGGGAGTTAGTTGTTATTATTTCTTTGGATCTATTGCGGTGCTTCGAGATTATGGAACTTTGTAGCTTATTCAGGAGTCTAATTTACTAATGAAATTACAGACTGATTCTGATTTGATGTTTATAGGGGGTCCTGGGAGCGGAAAAGGAACTCAATGTATGCGGATAGTTCATACTTTTGGGTTTACCCATTTAAGTGCTGGAGACCTGTTGAGAAAAGAAATTTCTTCTAACAGTGAAAATGGGTAAGAATATGCATCCCTTCTGACATGGGCCTTTTGTTTGATACCCCTCCTATGTTTATGGCATGAATGGTGATCATAAACTGCGACAGTTCCATGATTCTCAATACAATCAAAGAAGGGAAAATTGTTCCATCATAAGTGACTGTTCAACTAATTCAAAAGGCCATGGAAGCCAGCGATAATGATAGATTTCTTATTGATGGTTTCCCAAGAACTGAAGAGAATCGTATAGCATATGAACGAGTTGTGAGTTTTTTTCTTCTCATTGAATATGTTGATTAATTTCCTTATTCCTTTTAAGACTAATATGTTTTTAGTAATGTGTCCTATCCTTTCCTTTCATCATGGTTATCTGTGTTTGGGTGGTTGCTATATGACCAATTGAAATGTTCATCATGCAATTTCTTAAATATTAAGTGATAGACTATATAACTGCAGATTGGTGCTGAACCAGACATTGTGCTCTTTTTTGATTGTCCTGAAGAAGAAATGGTGAAACGAGTATTAAACCGTAATCAGGTGTTTTATATATCTATATCTCTTGCACTTAGTCGTTCTTCTCTTCTGTCCCAAAATCTAAAGAAATAGTGATTTCTTGCTTAGGGACGAATTGATGATAATATAGACACAGTCAAGGAAAGGCTAAAGGTCTTCGCGGAACTAAATCTTCCAGTCATCAAGCACTACTCCAAGATAGGAAAGCTTTGCAAGGTATGGTTGAATTGTGTCACTCCAACAATAAGTACCCCTATTAAGACATCAATGGTTTGTCACTTTTTCTTTTTTGGTTTCTAATTGAAGAACTGAAATATTCACTTTTGGTCATGAAAGGAAGACACTAACTACTTTACATTCATGTGTGTATGTTTCTTTCTTTTTTCTTCTTAATCGATATGGTTGATTTATTTTTCCATCTACTTTCAATTCATTATAAATCAGTATCCTTGCAGATTGACGGTACTGGATCAGAAGATGAAATTTTTGAGAGGGTTCGCCCAATTTTTGATGCATTGAGGTATCAGGTTTTGTTCCATGCTCTCCCCTTTTACATTTCATGGTTAAATGGATATTTACAATCATTTGTGACAGTCATGGAAGTGTATTAGATCAACTCATGACATTGGATCAATAGAAATTTTGTTAATCTCCTTTGAAATACCAGTCTCATGATATTCGTAAAATATATTTATCAATTTCAGGACATACTGAGAAACAATTAGCTTGTATGCAGGATTAGTATAATACTCTTCTATACTCATTACTTCTATATCATCAAAATAGTTCGCGGTAATTTTTTCAGGCTAATAATTCTTTGCTTCATATTCGGTGCTTTCACACGCTTTTATCTAGGAAATCTAGTTTTCCTCATCTTCAGTAATCTTTCTTGCTATATCGTGGTTGAATACTTGAATTTGTCTTTTTATTTTGTATCTGTTGTCATACCAATTTAAACCATGGGGACGTCCCATAGACCTGCCAAATTCACATTATCATGACATATCCTAAAGCACTTGGACTTACAGTCCATTGTGTAGTGAGATATTAGTAGACATCACAAATCAAGTGAAATACTAATCAATTATCATTTAAGTTGATGTAGAAGATGCAAAATGCAATCATTTGTAGTTGAATACTAATCAGTTCATTTGGGATTGAGTGAGCTGTGAGCTTAGCTTGCTTGTAGAATGTAAATTGTGAATAACTTAAAACCTAAATAATTTGTCATTGTACCGTTCACGGTCCTCAAAGCACCTTCAGTGTTCCTCATCCAAAGTTTTCTTGTTTGATGAACTAATGACTTTGTTTTCTTCCCATACCATTTTATTTTCCTAATTTTTCAAGGCTCCAATCAACAGACAAATAAATTTGTTGGACTGACTACAGTTTCATGTGGCAAGTAAATATTCTACTATATCCTCGGACTTCATGTATGTTGAGCTTATCATGTAGCCCATGTATCAATGCTGGTTTAATTTGCCTTGTCTAAATTCATAATGTTGTGTCTGCGCATGTTGTGTTTACTCCTAATCATATAATTTTTTTTCCATCACGTATTAGAAAGAGCACATGCTCTTCTTGAATTATTTAGAAGTTAGAACTGAGACCATCAGTTTTTTGTGATTGATTTGGATTTACATTTGCAATTTACTTTCTTACATTTATTCATGTGATTTGGTGAATGCCTGATACTTATAATGATGCCTTCACTGACAAGTGATCTTATGAAAGGTCGAGACCTGTTAGCTTGGGTACTATGTTGAACTTCCTAAAGATCCTCTTCTGTGCTATTATACATTTCTTACATTTTTCTTCTTTTTTTTAGCCTCTTCCCTAATAAAAATGGTTGGAGATACAGAAACCGAAAATTTGGTGACCAAGTGAAGACTCGCTAGCCTCCATCAAAGCCCTGTTATCCTTATTCACCATTAGTTGATCAAGTTGAAAAATGCTAACTTGAAACGGTACCATAGGGAATTTGCAGGCAAAATCGGGCCTGGATTTTTTCTCCAAGCAGACGAGAAGAGAACTAATCATTTGTCTCAATGTTATGCCAATGCATGACAAATCATCCAAAGAAGAAAATATTTCTACTCTTTACATATACTATCTCTTTAACGGGTTACCATCATGATGATACTAAGTCTGAGCATTCTTCGGCAATTGTGTTCGAAAATAAATTTTATAAGCTGTTATCTTAAGCTTTAATTGCTACTCTACCCTACGCGATATCTCCAATGATTATGTGTTCTAGGTTCTATGAAAATCTTTGTTTTTAACCATGCTTAGAGCAAATTGCCTTTCCTTTGGCCTTCGAGCATTAGTTATGTAGGCTGATTTTGATACTTAGTGCAATATTGATGCGTAAAGTAAATAAATAAATAAAATGGAATTGCAAGTAAAATATTGACCAAAATGAACCTTGAGCATTCTTATTTTGTTGGTTGTATTTCAATTTTATAAACAACATATTTCAAAAAAAAGATATATAATTATTCAATTCAAAATTATAAAATTAAACTATATTATTACAACAATCTATAGATTAAATAGTTAATTAATTGATTCCACAAATGAAAAAAATTGATACCAATCCCAAACGTTTATATCAGCTCATGCTAAAACAACCACGCACTAGTTTTAGCTGAACAGTAAAACATGAACCTGTGCTTCCACTGTCAATGCCTGGTCCCATCCTTCTCATGCTCAGCCTCAAGGAAGAAAACCGAAAAGCACAGCATCAAAATCCACCGGCACAACAAACCAAACTCCCCTTACCCCAAATCATCCCCGACCCCACTCCTACCCGCCCGGAAAACCCAACCCGAATCCAGAATCCACGCACTCGATGCCGTCGTCAACCAACTCGAAGCCGCAGCCAAAAACGGTATCGTCCTCAACGACCCCCAAACCTTCGCCTCCCTCCTCGAAACCTGCTTCCGCCTGAAATCCCTAGATCACGGCCTCAGGATCCACAAGCTCATACCCGAAACTCTCCTCCGCAAGAACGAGGGCGTAGCCTCCAAGCTTCTCCGCCTCTACGCCAGCACGGGCGAACTCGAGAATGCACACGAGATGTTCGACCAAATGCCCCACAGAAGCACTTTCATATGGAACTCCCTCATCTCGGGATACAAGGACACCGGCTCGTACGAGGACGCCCTGGCCCTCTACTTCCAGATGGCCGAGGAGGGAGTGGGCCCCGACCAGCACACTTTTCCCCGGGCTCTCAAATCCTGCGGAGGGCTCGGTTCGGTTCGGGTCGGCGAAGAAATCCACCGCCACGTCATCAAATCGGGTTTCTCGAAAAACGCGTTCGTGGCGAACGCGCTCGTCGACATGTACGCAAAGTGCGGCAACATTTCCCGAGCGAGGAAGGTTTTCGACGCGATCGAGGGGAAAGAGTTGGTCTCGTGGAACTCGATGATCAACGGTTATCTAAAGCACGGGCTAATTTCGAAAGCATTGTCCGCGTTCCGGAAGATGGTCGAGGAAGGATTCGAACCCGACCAAGTCACCCTCTCCGCGGTCCTCGCGGGCGGGCCCCACTATAGGATCGGGACCCAAATCCACGGTTGGGCCGCGCGTAGGGGGTTGGATTGGGATTTGTCGGTCGCGAATTCGTTGATCGTTTTTTACTCGTGCCGGCGAAGAATATCGTTACGGGCGAGATGGTTGTTCGAGCGCATGCCGAAAAAAGACGTCGTGTCTTGGAATTCCGTGATCTCGGCACACGCGAACGATGACCCGTCGTTGGCTATTGAGTATTTCGATCGGATGACGGAATATTATTCCAACGTGTCGCCCGACGAAATCACGTTCGTGTCTTTGTTGTCCGCATGTGCTCGTCTCGGGAAGGTGAGGGAAGGGGAGAGGATTTTCTCGGAAATGGAAGGGAAGTACGGAGTGGCTCCGTGTGCGGAGCATTACGCGTGCATGGTGAATCTATACGCGAGGGCGGGTTTGATTGGCGAGGCGTACGAGTTTATAGTGGAAAAGATGGGGGACGAGGAGGCGGGGCCCACCGCATGGGGAGCTCTGCTCTATGGATGTTACCTTTACGGGGATGCGGATGTCGGGGGGATTGCGGGGGCCCGATTGTTCGAGATGGAGCCCGACGTGGAGCGTAATTTCGAGCTTTTGATCGAGATTTATAGTGAGGCGGGGCGCGATGGGGACGCGGAGAGGGTTCGGAGTATGATGATGGAGAGAGGGCTTGGTGTGTAGTACTATAGTAGTGAAATTGAGCATATATATATATACGTATGTGTTAATACTGGCTTCAGAAAGGTTGACCATTTTGCGAATTTCGCTCTTGAGGTTTTTTATTACCCTTTGTCACAGGTGAATGTTTTTGTTCCATAATTGCTAAATTTGTATCAATTTTGAATAAAAATATCAATTTGAATAGAAATTATTTAAATGAGAATTATTGAGTGAAGAACGACCCTACAATGGACGGTAAATAATGGCCAATTTTGCTAACCTGCTGATATGGTCCACCGGCCACAATTTAAGGCGTGCCCGTCTCATAATCTTGTCGGGTGGGGTCCATTATTGATTAGTCTGTGGATCCCCTTAATTACGCCTCAAATCGTGATATATACAGACAATCAGACATCATAATCATTTGAAAAGGTTGATAATAATAAATTAATAATACATATTTGTGAAAATAAGTGCTAAGTCCCTAGTTCTTGCTATATTATGGTGCCAATTTCTATACACGAATAATGAAATAAGAAATCTATATATATATATAATTGCTGTCAAACTTCAATAAATTTTATTCAATTAGCAATTAATAATAATATGAGTTCATTTAATAAAAATAAATGTTCATTCAATAAAAATATGTTCGCCATTTAATAATAGTATTTAACTTTCAGTTACACAATTTATTTTGACAAGTCTTATTTTGGATGGTACTCATTTCTACAACTGTCTTTTTATGTCATGAAATACAAAATATTTTTTTTTTATTTTGATACTATATATTTTTTGGTATTATATAAATAAATATTTCACAACTAATTAAGATTGACTACGAATATCTCTATTTTCTATTGGAGTCATACAATAATAAAAAAATATTTTTTTTGGATATTATAAAGATACGTCAAATATTTTGAAAAATCAAATCCTAGAGTTACGAGTTGAAGAAGTTTAACGATAATGATTTGTTGTGATGAGGATTTTGACGATAGGAAAATCACAAACGTTGTATATAAAGAAGTGTTTAATAATATTTAGGTTCACTTTTTTAAATTATTTGTTTTCTCATTTATTAGTTATATTTTTTATTTTCTTCTATTTTTTTAATTACTTTCTCTTCAATGTATCGTTTTTCGTGCAAATGCACGGGGTAAAATTAATATATGTATAAAAAGCAAGGTTATAAAGACGCAAGGCGACGAGCTTGGGACTAACGCGCAAGGCCGGAATTATACGGTACCTAGACGGGATTGTAAAAATATTAATAAATTTTTTTATATATTTATCACATGCATAGTTTGCAAAATATATTTTTATAAAATATCTTAATTTATATGGTTAACTAGAAAGATTATTAAAAATATTATATATCTATATAATTATTATAATAATTTTACTAGATCATTATTTTATTTCATAATGATTATATATAATTAAAATATATTTTTAATTTATTTTAATTTAAAAAAATTATACGAGCGCCTACGTGACGTTTAAACCACCTAGACCGCCTAGGCGTGATTAACTTCGCAACTGGCTGAACTGCCTAGTAATTGCCCGAGTGCCTAGAAGGGCCCCGAGATGAAAATCGGGACTCCCAAGTGCCGCCTACCCCGAGATTTAGAACATTGATAAAAAGTAGTGTTTAAAAATATAGAAGTTTTTATTTCAAAATTTCAATTAATTTACTAAAATTCCAATATTAAATTTATTTTAAAATAGACTCATGTGTATCAAACACTAATGTGATACATGAATGATTGCGACATAAATGTGATAAAAATTGCTTTTTGACTACTCCCGTTGTATAGGATTATCATTTTAATTAAAAGTAATACCAAAATTTTTAAATAAAAACTTTTATTTTTACTTTTTTATGCACATATTTATTAATCCCTGTAATTCAATACACATGTATTCGTAATGTAATAATTAGTATCATTTGATTGAATCAAATGAACGCTGCACATGTATAATTGGTTGTACAAGTATCAAGTGTCATATAAATCAAATTAAATAACTAGGAGACAAAGATAATAAGGATGGGATTGTAAACCTCAACCACATCTATACAAAATATTTAGGGAAGTTTTTTTTTTTTTTAAATATTTATGTCATTTGGACGTTTATTTACGTTTTGAAATTTATTATTGTACATGATACGTGTAGGGTTAGATTTTACATGGCCAGGCATAACCTTTGGTTATTAATAAATTAAATTTGTCTATATCGTCTAAATGTTTTAGATAGACAAGTGTGTTGTTTCTATTTATGCTTCTGTGCTAAAAAATGTTGATTTTATTTAATGTTGCATTAATCAATGGATATTGTTATCTTCATTCAGTAATTAACTAATGCAAATGTTTCATCACGCTAATTCTCTTCCAAAATAGTGATATACAATTATTCTGTTTAGGCGAATGATATTATTGCAAACGACATTCGACAGTGGCCACACAAATAATTTATACATTACTCTAAGCAAGAAGGTATAGATATTTTTCGACACATATAATATAATGAAAATTAAAGCTGGTAGGTTTATATCCATGTCGCCATGTCGGTGTAGCAATATGTCAAAGATTTGTCCGTACGCAGAGTGCAATGGCCACTATCTTCCTTTCATAACAGTGTGAATGCCTGATATGTAATTTTTACAATTTATTTTATTTTTATTATAGACTTTTTTCCTGATAAGGTTCTTGAGGACAAATTAAAGATTTGAGGATATTGAATTAGAGGTTGACCCATAAGAACCTTTAATTAGTTTTTTAAATCTAAAAAGCTAATTTTAAATAAGCTCAATAGAAGAGCATTTTGGAAAAATTTTACATATCAAACAATACAAGAGCTAATCCAATCATTTGGCTACAAACTCTATCCGCTATTCGGTATTAATTAATTGAATCGACTCTCAACTATGTATAAGCATTAAATATGGTCATAGTACTGTCAACTAGAATTTCCTCCTCAAATAATTAATTATGCATCCTCTTATTTCTTTTAACAGAATGCACACCATCATTTAAAGCCAAGGACAGCAAAAAATGAAAAAACTTGTACACATAAAAATATATTTAATCAGAGTGAAAGCTGTAATGTGTCATGTGTGTGTGGTCCGTGTTCCACCGAATATAAACGGGCCACTCCAGACCATATCACACCCAATAAAGGCGTGTTCACAACTTCTGGACCAATATCCACGTGACACCAATTTTTATCAAATTGGAAAAGAAAAAAGAAAAATTGAAATTGCCACTATAAATAATAGGCCACTGGCCAGCACAAAGTTGTAGTAATCCACTCTCACTCTTATATCTCTAACAGATAAATATGGCAAGAATTTCTCTCACATTCCCACTCTTCCTTTTCTCTCTCTTATACTTCCAAAATGGGAACCAATTAGCCACCGCCACCGCCACCACCACCGCCACGGCGGCGGCCTCCAACCCCGCCGCCAGCTTCATCAGAAATTCCTGCCGGGCCACCAGGTACCCCTTGGTCTGCGTCCGATCCCTCTCAACTTTCGCCTCCACAATCCATAAAAGCCCAAAGCAGCTTGTCATGACGGCCCTATCCGTGAGCGTCGACCGGGCCCAGTCCACTAAGGCGTTTGTCCGCAAGCTGTCCACGTTTCGGGGCCTCAAGCCCAGAGAGTATTCGGCCCTCAAGGACTGCCTGGAGGAGGTGGGGGACAGCGCCGACAGGCTGGGCGACTCGGTCCGCGAGCTCAAAAGGTTGGGCCGGGCCGGCGGGCCCGAGTTTGAGTGGCACATGAGCAACCTCCAGACGTGGGTTAGCGCTGCCCTGACGGACGAGAGCACGTGTCTGGACGGGTTTGCGGGCCGGGCCCTAAACGGCAGGATCAAGAGCTCAATCAGGGCCCGGATGACCGAAGTGGCCCAGGTCACCAGCAATGCCTTGGCGCTTTGCAATCAATTTGCGGGAAAGTATAAATTAAGTTATGACATGAATTAATGTTTTTGTGTCTTTTTTTTTTTTTCCTATTTATATGTAGTTTAATTTAAATTATGTTGCTGCTCAAAGTTTTGTAATGTTTGTATATCATGTATGAATATGCCACAATTAAGTGAAACGTGATGAGTTTCTAGTTTATATCAATTGTGTTCAATGACGTGTAGTTTTCATGATAGAAAACGAGGGGAAGTGGGCCGTCTGCGCACATGCAATTCAATTTTGCAACTGCTGAAATAATGTTCATTTAGTAAGAAGTTAATGTGCAATATATGA